TCGGGGCGCTGGATTCTGTCCCGGTTGCTCCTCTTCTAGTCCAGCTCTCTGCTGTGGCCAGGGAGTGCAGTGGAGGATGGCCCAAGTCCTTGGGCCCTGCACCTGCCTGGGATACCAGGAGAAGCACTTGGCTCCTGGCTTCAGATCAGCGCGGTGCGCCAGCTGCAGCGCACTGGCCGCAGCGGCCATTGAGGGAAAAGGAAGACCTTTCTCTGTCTCTCTCACTGTCCACTCTGCCTGTTAAAAAAAAAAATTACTTATTTATTTGACAGGCAGAGTTACAGAGGCAGAGAGAGGTCTTCCATCTTCTGGTTCACTCCCCAAATGGCCGCAGTGGCTAGAGCTGCGCCGATCTGAAGCCAGGAGCCAGGAGCTTCTTTTGGCTCTCTCACATGGGTGCAGGGGCCCAAGGACTTGGGCCATCTTCCACTGCTTTTCCAGGCCATAGCAGAGAGCTGAATGGGAAGTGGAGTAGCCAAGACTTGAACCGGCACCCATATGGGATGCTGGCACTGCAGGCAGTGGCTTTACTCCCTACCCCACAGCATTGGCCCCTCAGTCTCCATTTTTGAAGAACTTTTTGCTTCCAATGACATTTGCTATATCTACTTACATCAATATTGCATGCAATATTCTACTTGCATCAAAGAGTTCTGATAAATAGTATATTTGTATCATTTCTCCTGATATTTTTAAAAAATTATTTATTTATTTAATTGAAAGGCAGATTTACAGAGAGGCCGAGGTAGAGAGACAGAGATCTTCCATGTGCTGGCTCACTCCCCATTTGGCCACAACAGCTGAAGCTGGGCCAATCCAAAGCCAGTAGCCAGGAGCTTCCGCTGGGTCTCCCACATGGGGAAGAGATCCAAGCACATGGGCCATCTTCCACTGCTTCACCAGGCCTCAAGCAGAGAGCTGGATCAAAAGAGGAGCAGCCAGGACTCAAACTGGCAACCATATAGGATGCCCATGCTGCAGGCGGTGGCTTTACCTGCTATGCCACAGCACCGCCCCTTCTCCAGATTCTGACTGACTCCAGACCCAACTTGCACTCAGGTAGGCACAAAGTAGCAGTGATATCTTTGGCTGCTAACACTAAAAAACTTTTTCTGAGATTCCTTCTTGTTCAAAAAAAATTTTTTTAAGTTTGGGAATTACTAAAGGATGTCAATATCTAGCAGTCATAATGTAAATATTATAAAAGCAACTTATGAAGCTTACATGCATCAAGCAATAGCACATACAGAGCCTTGGGGTAAATGCAGTACCAACTCTGGGGGAAAGACTAAGAGCTAGGATGCGCCAAGAGATCTTTGAATGATCCATGGCCCCTCTCGTGGACAGATGGCTCTGGGAGCATGGGTGCTATCGTTTGGAAATGGTTTCACCCCCAAACTCATGCTGACGTTTAAAACCTGACATCATAGTTAATAGTACTAAGGGTGGAAACTAAATCCAATTAAGGTATTTAGGAGGTGCGTCTAGTGAGAGGTTCTTGGGTCACTGGGGGCATGCCATTGGGAAGGGCTGCTCTCCTGAGAAGGTAGGTTATCAAAGCCTGTGTTGAGCCCAGCTGCTATTTCCTGGCTCACCACATGCCCTTCCCCAACATGGTCTGCCATTGCCATTTATCACCTTCACAGAGACCAAACTTGTAGTGCTGTGCAATCACGGACTTGAACCGCCAAAGCTTTGAACTAAGTAAACCTTTTTCTCTTTATAAAATTAGTTACCTCAGCTATTTCATTGAAGTAGTGGAAAACTGTTTAATAGAATGAGCAACTTCATAATCTGCATTTAGGGCAGATGTCACCTGGACACTAATCTACACCATTAGAATACAGTCTAATTGATTTTAGTGGGTTTGTGTGTGTGTGTGACTACAACACTATTTTACTTTTACTTTCAGTCTTGTTAGCACTATAAGCTTCAACTTTGGAAATACTGAGAATATGAACTCATTTACGAACCATTGGTTAGAGTGTGATAATCTGTGAAAAGACATCTTTGAGTCTTTGTTCTTCTATATAAACGATCAAAACTACTCGCCCAAATTACAATTACTCATCACTGATTCATACTTGCTGTATATCTTCAGTGCAGAAGATGTTATGGTGAGAGGGAGGGGATTAAAGACTGACTGCCCATAGCTATTTGGAGTCCAGGGTTTAAATACTAATTCATAGAAATTGACTTGTAACATTTTCCACTTAATACTCTGAAAAGTTTGGGAATATTTAGCAAGGTCTGGAGAAATGTTTAGTTTTCGCTACTTGGGGTGGGTGGCAGAAGCTCCTTATATTGAGTGGGTAGAGGCCAGAGATGCTGCTAAACATCCTACCATGCTCAGTACAGCCCACAATGACAAAGAATTATCCAGCTCCGTATGCCAGTAATGCCAATCTTAGGAAACTCTGCTAAGAGAGGAAGCTGGGAGAGTAGTAGAGAGAATCTAATGTATCCTTCTGAGACAAGGAAAGCTGTCAGCTGTGGGAGGGAGAATGAGATCAAAGGACATGTTGAGATTCCTTTGACTTTAACTTTGGAATTTCCATCCTTAATGACAAACCTCTGAAAACTTTTGGAAAACTGCCTTACATTTGTAAATATTTAACTGTCAATCAGTTTGCTATTATTTCTTCAAAAGAATGAATACATGTATATGTATACTTTTGTGTACATATAAATTTTTACAATGTTTCTACTAAAACAGTCATGTTAATGGACTTATAGACTTAAATTTTATCCACTGTTAATCTATTGTGAGGACAATCTCAGAAAAAAAGGACTTTAGGAATTCATTCATAATCCCAAATACTACATCTATAAAATGATAACTTCCTAATTAGATTTCTGTCATGCCTCCAACTTAGGGAATTGGAGGAACAGGGGCCTTTGGCATTTGTTCATTTGGGCAGAACTCTACAACCTGGTACATAGGATATGGTCAAATGAGCATCTGATGAATGAATGAATAAATTAATTCAGTGGAAAGTAAAGGCACACTGAGAATGTCATGAAAAAAGGAATAGCAATAATATTTATCAAAATACAGGGATTCAGTATAGTTACTCATTTCTAAAATGAACATCTGTTTTCTTTTATGCATCTCTGAAATCAGGATGAATGTTACACTCAATGGTATTTTCAACTGTCATTGACCAGGCACCAGTCACAATACACTTTTCATGGTATACTGTACTTGAACATGATAGCAGTTCTCTACTTTGAGTTCCTATACATTGTACATATTTTAAGGTTAATTCTTGAAATGCCTTCATGAAACAGCAAAAAAAAAAATTTTTAAAGATTTTTTTGAAAGACAGAGTTACAGAGAGAGGTAGAGACAGAGAGAAAGGTCTTCCATCCACTGGTTCACTCCCCAAATGGCCGCAATGGCTAGAGCTGCGCTGATCCGAAGCCAGGAGCCAGGAGCTTCTTCTGGGTCTGCCATGTGGTTGCAGAGGCTCAAGGACTTGGGCCATCTTCTACTGCTATCCCAGTCCACAGCAGAGAGCTGGATCAGAAGAAGAGCAGCCAGGACTAGAACCAGCACCCATATAGGATGCCTGTGCTTCAGGCCAGGGCATTAACTTGCTGTGCCACAGCACTGGCCCACAGCAAAAAATTTTAAAGTGATACGCATCAAAGCCCTTAATACTAAATATTGTATTATTGGGTTTAAAGTTAATTTTAAGGGAACAAATACTTGTTATTGGCGAAATACTTATAATCCAATTTTCTTGAAAAGAATAAAGTGCTTTATAGTACCTGGAAAGGGAGAAACCTATACGTAGATAAGAAAAATTCCAAGTGGGGCAGACAGTGTGGTACACTAGAGCTGCTGCTTGTGAGTCCCTCATCCCTTTACAAAGTGCCTGGGATAAAATCTGTCTTCTGCTTCCAATTTCCTTCTATTGAGAACCCTGAGAGGCAGCAGATGATGTCACAAACACTTGGATTCTTGCCACCCACAACGGAAACCTAGATAGAGTTCCTGGCTCCAGGCTTTGCCTGGCTCAGCCATGGCTATTAAGGGTATTTGCACAGTGAACCAAAAGGTGGAAGATCTCTCTTTCTATGTCTCTTTCTGTTATTCTGTTTTTCAAATAAACTGAATAAATAAACTTCAGAAAAAGATATTTCAAAGCAATGAATATAGTATGACCAATTTATGTATCTCAAATGGCTAACTTTAAGATTTTGGAATGATGTTATCAGTTGTACTTTTATTTTTTCCATGGTTTAAAAATAATAGTGTCTCTTACAGTCAATAATGTCTTAAATTTTCAGTTGTCCTTTTTAAAAAAGGATTTATTTATAAGTGAGAATTACACAAAAGAGGAGAGGCAGAGAGAGAGAGAGAGAGAGAGGTCTTCCATCTGTTGGTTCACTCCCCAGTTGGCTGCAACGGCTGGAGCTGAGCTGATCCGAAACCAGGAGCCAGGAGCTTTTTCCAGGTCTCCAACATGGGTGCAAAGGCCCAAGGACTTGAGCCATCTTCTACTGTTTTCCCAGGCCATAGCAGAGAGCTGGATAAGAAGTGGAACAGCTAGGTCTCGAACCATATCCTGTATTGGATGCTGGCACTTCAGGCCAGGGCATTAACCCGCTGCGCCACAGCGCTGGCCCCCAGTTGTCATTTTTGATGTTAGAGACAGTCAAAGCCAACAAGAATACTGAGGACTGATGAAATTTTTCCTGGATCTTGAAAAATAGGTTAGTGATGAGGTATTGTAGGAAGCCAAATCAAGGCTGAATGAAATCCTGATCAGGAGACAAGTAACAGAATAATCTGGTTGAAATGCATATGTATATAAGATAGAAATGAAACAGGAGATGAGAAACGTAGATTTGTCTTCAGTTCTGAGGAAGCTGAATTTCAGACTGAAGAACGTGCATGTTATCATAATGTGTGCTCCCAAAACCAATTTTTAATTTTTTTTAAGATTTATTTATTTATTGAAAGGCAGAGTTACATGGTGGGTGGAGGAATGAGAGAGAGAATCTTCTATTTGTTCATTCTCCAAATGACCACAATGGGCAGGAGCCAGGAATTCCGTCCAGGACTCCCACATGGGTGGCAGCCACACAAGGACTTGAGCCATCTTCTGATGCTTTCCCAGGTGCATTAGCAGGGAGCTGGATCAGAAGCAGACCAGCCAGGATTTGAACATGTTCCCATACAGGATGCTAGCACTGCAGACAGTAGCTTAACCTCAGCATCTTGAAAGAACAGAAATTTTGTTCAAGAAACAAAAAAACTCATCAAATATGTTTTTGAAAGGATCAAGGTGGTTACGGTACACTTTCATTTTTTAGGAAGGTTTATTTATTTGAGAGGCCCTTCCCTAATCCTTTACAGAGACTATTATCTTAACATGAAATTTCCTTGTCCTTGACCATAATCTCATGTCCATTCTGCTGAAAACTTTGTACTCATTCTTAAAGCCAAGAGAAAAATGTCACCTCCCCAAAGGTGCTGTTTCACACCTGTAGTCCAGGTGAGTTCCCTTATGATTTGCTGTCGTATTATTTAGTCTCCTTCTTTCAAAGTGTTTATTATCAATGCAGTTATAGAATTAGCTATAGGATTGTTTGTTTTACTTCTTGCTTTCCAGTGGAACTGGACTTCATTGCAAGCTTTATAAAGACAGAGATGAGTACTTCTTGATGTCTCCAGAGCTTTCTACAATGCCCCATACAAGATTGATGCTCCCTACATGTCACATTTGAATGAATGGGATACTATGAACCATAATCTAACTGTTACACAGAGATTGGTCTACCGCCATTTTATGTATAAAATAGAAATAAAATATATTTATAAAATATATATCTGTGTGTTATGTGTGTGTATATAAAATCTTAGATATTTATAGAATTTTTCCTTTCAGCTAAGGGAGCCTCTGTGTTGACTTCATAAATCCGAACAGAAATGTGAACTTTGGAGGGTGGAGGATGGAGAGAAATTGGATATTGGTACTGAAACACAGATAGGACAAGTTCTAGAGTTCCATGGCACAAGTAGAGTGACCATAGTTCACAATAATGTGTAATACATTCTGTAAAGAACTAGAAGAAAGGGATTGGTATGCTCCAAACACAATAAAATATCAGGAAGTAGAAAGCTAGTTTCCTGGCTATATGTGTATGTTTGGAAATATTCAGCGCCCATATGGGACGCCAGCACTTCAGGCAGCCGCAGCGGCTTTACCTGTTACCCCACAGCACCAGCCCGATGATGAATTTCTTGAACCCGTGTTAGTAGTTTAATCAAAGGTCCCTTTGTAACCCCTTCATTCCTGGAGAGCATTCAGCTGACTCTTTGGGCCCCTGCATTCAATAGGAGACTCAGATTAAGCTCCTGGATCTAGACTTCGATCTGATTCAGGCCGAGTTTTTGTAGCCATCTGGAGAGTGAACCAGCAGATGGGAGATCCCTCTTTCTGTCTGTCTGTCTGTCTCTCTCTGTAATTAACCTTTTCAATAAATAAAATAAAAATCTTAAAAAATTTTGCATTTGCTGTGTGATTTGGAACAATTCTGTCATCCACAAGAATTTCCATTTCCTCTTATGTAAGATAGGAATGATAATACCTGTCCTACAAACTTTACAGGGCTGCCTGTCTGATCAAAAATCAAAAGGAAAAAATACCAAGCTGCTGAATTTGACAGATCCATTTTTATTATTTTCATACATTGTTTATCTCACATATTTCTAAACTCTAAGAGTCATATCAGTAAATATGCTGCCAAAAAAGAAAAAATATGTATTTAAACTTTTCCCAAATTATATAGATTGAAAGATACATTGAGACACACATGCCCCCTCATCCCTTATGCATACCCTTAAACCCCAAACAAAAATCCAAATGTTCTTTCCCAGAAATTTGAATTTACATATTGTATTTTTTTTTTGCAGGGGAAGTTCTTGTGCACAGATTAAAGGAAGAATGACACAAGGATTTGACTTAAAAGACCAAACCTTCTTTTGGTTACCTGCCCAATTTAAGGGAAAAAAAGCTTACAATTTAAGTAGCAATCAAGAATATCTGAATTTGGCCAATGGCTATTAGATTGCTAGTTAGGGAGATTAGTACAGGGAATAATGATAATTTAGAGAATACTGAAGAGAACGGGAATGTTTCAAGAACAGATTTTGTGGGAAAGCATTTGGTTTAGAGGTTAAGATGCCTGTGAAGACACCCATGTCCCATATTAGAGTACCTGAGTTCAAGTCCTGATTGAGGCTCCCAATTCCAATCTTCTGCTAGTGTGCACCCCGGGAAGCTGTAGATATGGCTCAAGTAGTTGGGTCCCTGCAATCCACCTGGATTGAGTTCCTGGCTCCCAGCTTCAGTTGGGCTCATTGAAAATGAACCAGTGGGTAGTAGCTCACTCTCTCCCTCTCTCCCTCCCTCTCTCTCTCTCTCTCTCTCTGTGTGTGTGTGTGTTTCTGCCTCTCAGAAATAATAAAAAGAAAAAAAAGAATAGATTTCATCTCCATGGCCTCATTAGAAATATAAAATCAATTTCCATTAGTAGCTACAACCTTTCAAAAGACTCCTCTTTTGCCATAAACAGCTTGTATGAACTCCACTTTCAAATTTGTATTTCTCTTTTTGCAATAAAGAGTTATTTTCATTACCCAAATCCAATCATAACCATGCTAAATCATCATTTTATGTTTTAAGTTGACAATAATTTGTCTCTTCTTTAAACACATGGTTGTCAAATATAAGAATTCAGATTCTTGCCTCAGCAATTCTTAGTGCTCTAAGCAGCTGGTAACTGGACAGTTCATATCTTCCTCACTTTGCCATCAACATCCTCACACATCTTGCACCCTGATTTGTATAAATTTAAACAAAAGTGGGGAAGGGAGGTGGGATAGAGTACTACTATCTGAAGGTCAGTGTTATCAATTTTTTGGCTAATTGTGTATTTCATTGAATTTTTTAAAAAAGTGACAGAATTTTGAAATAGGTTAAACCATTAAAATTTATGGAAGAAAATCTTGTATTTGCTTTATCTCCTTCCCTACTAATATAAATTAGCATCACTTCTACAGACATTGACTAGAATCTCTGACCCCTGTTTTGGCTGCAAGTGTTAAAAACTTGAAGCAGTGAGTTAGGCATTGAAGCACTGAGTTAGGCATTGTGGCACAGTGGGTTAAAGCACTGCTTGGGATGCTTGCATCTCATTCTGGTGCCTGGTGCCTGGTGCCTGGTGCCTAGTTCAAACCCTGGCTACTTGGTACTTCTAGTCCAGCTTTCTGCCAATGCACACCCTGAAAGGCAACAGGTGATGGCTCCAGTATTCCAGTTCCTGTCACTCATGTGGGAGATTTGGTTGGATTTCCTGGCTCCTGGTTTCATACTGACTCAGCCCCAACTTCTATGGACATTTGGGGAGTGAACTAGTAGATAAATATCTCTCCCTCTCTCTTGTTTAGTCTCTCTCTGTCTTTCCCTCTAATTTTCTGTCACTCTGCCTTTCAAATAAATTTTAAAAAGTAATTGAACATTTTTAAAAAATTAATTTATTTATTTGAAAGGCAGTTACAGAGAAGAGGATGGGAGAGAGACAGAGAGAGAGAGAGAGAGAGAGAGGCCTTCCATCTGCTGGTTCACTCTCTAAATGGCCACAATGACCAAGTCTGATTCAGGCAGAAACCAGGAGCCAGTAGCTTCATCTGGGTCTCCCATGTGGCTGCAGGGGCCCAAGCATTTGGGTCATCCTCTGCTGATTTCCTAGACTGTTGGCAGGCAGCTAGATCAGAAGTGGAGCAGCTGGGACTTGAACTGGTGCCCATAAGGGATACTGGCATTGCAGGCAGTAGCTTAACATGCTATGCCATAGTATCAACCCTAACAAACATTTTTTAAACAAAGAAATTTATTTTAAAAAAATAACCATGAAGCATTGTGGCCATGGTTTAAACTTCTGCTTGGTATGCCCCATCCTATATCAGAGTGTCTAGGTTGAGTCTTGTCTCTGCTTCTGATCTAGCTTCCTGCTAAGGCATACCATGGGAGGTGGCAGATGATGGTCAAAGATTTGAATCCCTGGTGCCCACTTGGGAGACCCAGATAGAGTTCCTAGCTCCTGGTTTCTACCTGGTCTAGTCCTGGCTGTTGCAGAAATTTGGGGAATGAACCAGCAGATTGAAGGTATTTCTGCCTCTCTGTTTTTCTTTATCATTTAGCCTTTCAATTAAATAGTTTTTAAAATGAAGCATTTACTACATAATAAATATGGCTTATTTGTTCATTTTTTAAAGGAGTAAAATAAGGATAGTTGAAAGGAAAAGTTAGACATAGAGGGCGAAAAAACTCACTTGCAAACGTTCAAAGTAAATTTCTTGGGAATTTTTCTTACAGAGGAACATACATGCAATGCCCCCATGGCTGTCTCTGCTCTGAGCATAAAGGGATGAGAGTTCACCTTAGTTAGTGCTTAGGAAGGACATAGGAGGGGAGGCCCAGGTGCCTTGTTCTTTCTCCCTCCTTTGTGTACTGATAGAACTCTTCACTCCTGTTTCTCTACATAGCCATGAACTAGTTATATTGAGGTGTCATCATAGGTTACGTCAACATCATCAATGTAGGTTGATCCTTTGCAGGGAATTTGCATGCTTGTATGGCTCATACCTAAAACTAACATTCTTCTGAGTCATTTTATTTAATGGTTTATTTGTTTACTATGGGCCTAATTTCCTACAAAAAATAAGGAATGCAGTTTATTTTCTACTTGTTCACTGAACAGTGGTACCAGAAAGAACATGGATCTAAAATCTGCACTACCTCATTTGAGTCCTACTATGCCAGGAAAAAGCCAGGTGAATGTCAGCCTCTGTGGGTTTCTTCACCCTTTGAAGAGAAAAGTAATTCTTTGCAATATTACAAGAATTCAAGACAACCAAGCACAGCACCTAATTCTGGTTGGTTGATAAATGTAACTTCCTTTATATCTCTCAGTTTCACATTTCCCAATCCTGTTCTTCTGATGTGATATCCTGTGCCTCTTCTTATACCCATGGTGTTGGTGTGTCATCGTTAGATTTCTAGTTAAGCAAGACATTCTGGCTGAATGGTTTTCTTTCAGTTTTCCTCCTACTCTAACACCCTCTCATCCTGCTCATGGGAAAGGATGCAATGTAACTGTAATAACTGTCTTGATTTTGCCTATTTCTTTACATGTTCCCACATATGTTGCTTCTGCCACTATTACCTCCCTGTATTGATGGAACATGAGTGAGCCAAACATCAGAACATCCTAGAACATGTCCAGAATTGATGCTTGTGTTTTTTTTTACTTATTCCTTTTTATTAGACAGTCAAAAACTAAGCAAATAAAAACAAGAAGCAATGCAACGCTATTGAAATAGAAACAGCTGAACTTACTTATGTCACAGAATTTATCCAATGTTATCCGCGTATGAAGCATCCAGTTAGGCTGGGCTTCAGATGCAGCAAAACCACGCTAATAAAACAGACTGAGCCCCTGGGAGCCTACACTCCAACGCAGAAAGTAGAATGTATACTAAAATGAGCAAAGCAAGGCACAACATATTTCATGGTGATCTGGGAGGCAGGGACGTGGTCTAGCCTATGGAAGGACTCCTATGAAGGTTAATGGTGGCGCTCCATCTAGGGATCTAGGTTGGGGGAAATGGATCGCATCAGGCAGTCGCTGGTCTCCCAGCAACTGCATCTATCATCAGCACCGACCAGATGCAGCCAGGGGAACAGCCGGTGCAACATGTGGGTTAGCCCCCACGACAGCGAAGTGTCTGTGCCCTGGAGATGCTTGTGTTTTTAAATAACT